ATAATCCTTGATCGGACTCTTCTTCTCCATTGTATGCCTTAGTAATTGTAAAGTACCTTATTTTTAAATAGTATGAGGCTATTACCTGTCAAACCGAGGCCGTTACCTGAAAAAACCGTTTCAGATACTTTTTTTGCCCTGACAAGCCTGCTTAAGCTTATGTTTTCCCATCGCTCGAGCAACATATCTTTATGATTAGCTTTATCATCGCTGATCACAAACAGATATATGACACATTTCAGATTAGCTGATAAGTAACGGTAGCAGTCCCTGGCCGAATTTATTGAAGTTTGTCAAACTTTAAATTGTGACGGGTGAGACATATGACGGGCGTGACCAACATAATCGGTTCTTTTTTCGAAAATAAAAGCATATAAATACTTAAAAGCAAATCGCACATATTTCCCTGTGTCATAGCGTTACTTTCGTCAGCTTTTTTACACTGTCCAAGATGTGTTTTCCTTCAAAAAAATAACTATTTTGTGTATCTTGTGACGGGCGTGACATTAAAATATGCTTTGCTTCAATATTTAATAAAATATTTAGTACTTGCCCGAAAAATTTGAAAATTACGCCGTTACAATGCTAACGAATTTGTCTCCACTGACGGTTTAAACAATGCAAAAAAGGTAATAGACTACGAAAATCAGTCTTGTAAATTTTGAAAAAAATTAACCTCTCATATGGGTTTGTAAATGGTACAACCTAAAGTAAAAAAATATCTGATTTTGAGACAAAATTTCAGAATTTTGGCTTTCAGTCTTGAAAGTTAGATTTATTTACTCTTACTTTCTAGAAATAATACAGTCATATTCTTAGTTTATTTTCGTTTCATTCGGTATCGATTACCGTGGAATGAGCCATATCGAGGGGCTTATATTCAATACCCCCTATCTACCTACTTTGTGATGTTAGAACCCATCTGGGACGTACCTGTCATCACTGATGTTAGTTCTGATTTTTGTTTGGTCATAGTAAATTCGTATGTCAAGCGTTATACAAGGTCAGCAGCAGCGTTACCAGCTTGACGTTTTTAATATCATTTGGACGTTTTTTGCATCCTGTTGACGTTTTTTGTGTAAAAAATTACTTTTTTAACTTCGCAGTAATTTTTCTCTGTTACTAGATCTTGTAAGTAGAACTGATTTTTCTTAATAAATCTTTCCAAGCTTTGTGTTTTGCAGCAGCTGCTTTAAAAGATATTTATTCTTTGGACACAGATGACTTAAATATGATGCATACCAAGCGTACGCGCATTTTTTGGATTCTTGGACTAAGGATCCCGTGTCAAGCGCTGCTTGTGTAAACACTTGAGGTTACGAGGCTTATTGTAATGTTTGTAATTGCACATTAAAAGCCAAATCAAGAAGAGCTGATCTCTTGCAACACGCACGCTAGCAAAAGCATCAAAAAAGCTGTAGCAACATAAAAAGTCAGAAAAAAGTAGTCGACCTTTTTAACCCTAGAATACTAACTTTATTTTTTATTCCTTTAATACTAACTTTCGCCTGTGAGGCTACTTTGAAAAAAAGTACAAATTCTGTCTTTCTAAAACCTTCAATTTGTTTAAAAAAAGGGCTTAAACATATTTCATATGTTTTTAAAGTAAAAAAATAAAATAATTTAATAATTTTTTTAATATTAATAGGAATAATTCGTATTGAAAATAACACATATTTTATAATCTTTTTGAAAGGGGTCATTTTAAAAAATCAAAAAAAAAAAACATTTAAAAACGAACGCACTCAAACAATCCATAAATTATCTTAAAGGTATTCGTATTTACTTTCACACTTAAAAGGAATTAGTTGTTTATCTTTTCTATTGTGACCTGTACTTAAAAATGAAATCGAAATGAATCGATGAACAATTTTTGCACAAAGTTTGAAATGTGGATTTATATTTTGTTTATTATATAATGAGCTTGGATTTTATGGAAAAATAATCAAAATGGTGATGAATTAATCAGCTGATCACAATGTATGTACAAAATTATTTTTATATTAACGATCTCAAACCAGTTTACAATGAATTTTAAATGTGCTCTGTGAAAATTACATTTAAATATACCTTACGTACATATGTACCTTTGTATACAATAAAATTTAATAATAACAATTTTTTGTACATTCATTTGAATAAGACGTTTTTGGGTAGGAAAGGACGTTTTTTTCAGACCAAGAGGGACGTTTTCTCATGCCGAAGACCTGGCAACACTGGTCAGCGGTAACATCACCGATGACAGTTAAGTATTATGCAGCGTTTTTGCTGCATTTAAAATGCAACATTTAGCACTTTCGAACATATGTTTTCGAAGAGCGTTCATGCTATAGCATTTAGCAAATGTACATTTACGCGAGTTCGAAATCGTATGCTTTTGACAAACAGCCGTGTTCCAGTCTCTTATTTAGATGCGTATATATTACGATCAATTCTCACGCAGAAGATAATGTGCAAAAACCCTACTGAAAAGGAAAAAATAAATTTTAAACCAAAAATTCAATACAAAAACTTGAATTGTTTTAACCATAACCGAACATTTGTTTGTGTATATATTCATTTGTCGGTGCTGTCAATTAAAATTTCCTCACTTAATTAGGAAACAAACCAAACAGAGTTAATCAGAAATTGATCCAGATTTCTATCAGCATCACATCGATGTTGAATTTGCTTAACTTTTCTTTATCCAAATATGTAATGTAAAATAAAAGAAATCTCGATCGGCTATCACTGAAACGCAGCTAGCAACTGTATACTCGAAAAAGCAATGTTGCCACTTTTTCTCTTTAAACCATGTTCGAGTCGTGGAAATTTTGGAAGATCACAGGGTTGCTTTTAGCATTTAGATTCTTAATGCAAAAATGGAGTTGCATTTAGTTGCATTTAGGTGACGAAGTTTGTATGGATAAATGTACATTTAGAGCAGCATTTAGAGCTAAATGCGGTAAATGTGCTTTTACGCGTAGGAAAAACAGCCCATTAGGTAGATTATTATATCAGAATCTCATTTTTGTGAAAAGTGCAGATATAGGGTATTGAATATAAGCCCTCGATACGTACATATGTATGCATGGGCGTAGCCAGGTAGGGCCAGGGGGGTGCTGAGACCCCCCCCCCCCCTAACTTTCAAATTTTCCTTATATATATATAAAATAGTACCCTGAAATGCCAGCTTAATAGGGTCGAGCCCCCTCCCCTAAATTTCATTCTGGCTACGCCAATGTATGTATGTAAGTATGTACAGTGTCGCATTGTATTATTTTTACTACAACAAAAAACATAAAAATAAAATCTGTAAACTGTTTTCTTTTCTAAAACAAATGTTGCCTTCTCATTGCCCTCTTCTTTGTGCACAGAGGGCACTGACAAGGCACCATTTCTAAGTTTTTAAATGTAGAAATCTTTTCTGCTTTATGTTTAATCAGCTGAATTATCTGACCCGGCGTTACGTTATTAAAATTTCTATTGAAAAAGTTTTGTTAATATTGCTCTTGAGAAAATTTTTAACGGGAAGAAAACATGCATTTTATGTCGAACGTACTTTTTATTTTGACATCAGTGCCACCAGCGGCTCAATTTTTTGCAAATATATGTCTTATTACGTTTCAACTAAACGTACCAAAAGTGAAACAAATCAGAGCATAAATATGGTTTTTCAAAATATCCCGCCCATGGCGCGACCTAACGAGACCATGCAAATCGGTCTATAAATAAGTAAGATATTGGACCAGTGAGCGGACTTCTACCACATTGTGGTAGATCTGCCACTTTTTGAGCATCAACCACACAAGATCTAAAATCTACCACATATTCGCGTTTTTGAGTATGTACCTAGTTTTATTTTTGCTCGACATAATTTTCTTAATTTTAAGAGCAAACATTGTCCAACACTAAACACTATATGGTAACAAGAATGATATATGTAATACAAGATTCCGCATTCCCGGTGACGATCAAATTTCTCAAGTAAAAGTAAACAAAGCCGAATAGGAGGATAAAATAAAGTGTAAAATAGTAAATTGTCTCAATAATAAATTTTTCGATAGGGAACATGGTTTTATTATGTTAAAATATATGGTTTATAAAAACAATTAATAATGTTAGAACACGGCGATTTTTGTGAAAGTGCTAGCAAATTTCAGTGCATCTAAAGTTTCTGAGGCGTTGTTTACTTTTACTTGAGAATTGTTAAAATCGGCTAATCCCAAGTAACGGTTTCTGTAACATGTCAGATTTGTTCGCTATATCCTGATGTGATAAAAAGAAAAGCTGGCAGCACTCCGCAAGGTTGCTAAATATGTTCGAAAAATATTTTGATATGGAAGTAATTGCTTTACACTGTCAAGGAAAAAATTGCCAAAACTCAACGCAATTTTTAGCAACTTCAATCTTGCACTTTATTATACTAAAATTAATTTTTTTTTTAGAGTTTTATTAAAAAGTTTGCAATTTAAGGGAAACTTTACAGAACTGTTTTAATTTTTGTACAAAGTTTTATCCAAAACCAGAGATCTACCACATTTTTTTGAAATCTCCATATTTTTTTCCAGATTCTACCACACTGAATTTTTTTGAAGTCCGATCACTGTATTGGACTTTTAATTTTTTTTACGCTGTGGACTTTTTTTCTGGAAACAACCATATTTTAAGAGTTCTAATTTTTTTACAACGATATGTCTAAAATTTTTTCTTGCCGAACACCGGGCATTTTGTGTTGTACCGGGACCGGGAAATACATAAGGGATACAATTTGTTTGTTTTGTTTTGCAAATTGGTATGAAATTTGACATCTAAAGGTTCTTTGGCAAAACTGAAATCAGTTTTCACAAATTCAAAGTGGCAGATCCAATAAGGATCCATCCATGTGCTTATATGTATATACATATGCATCCACAGTTATTTATATTTCAACCGTATTAAACATTGCCTATTAGATTAAGTTTTATATTTACATACATAAAACAGAAAAACTTATTTTTCATTTTATTTTTTTTTTTTAGCCGCCAGATGAAGTTCCGGAAAAGTCAGCTGATTCCTGCCAACATCCGAAATTCAAGAAGATTTTATCCCTCTTTGAAAGGATTGAGGAAAATTTCAATATTTTCGACTTTTACCCAAACATCGATACCATACTCGACGGTAAAATACTTTCGGTAAATACTGAATATCGTGGTATGGGCATAGCTGGTCGCCTGACAGAACGAACTCTTGAGTACATGCGGGAGCACAACATTCCGATTATGCATGTATTGTGCTCCAGTCACTATTCGGCACGCGTAATGGAAAAATTGGGCTTCCATGAAGTCTACAAACTTAACTATGCCGACTATAAAGTCCACGGGGAGGTGGTGTTCGTACCAGCTGAGCCCCACGTTGCCGCACGTATTTTGGTGAAAGAGCTTGAAGACGTCAAATGCAAAAATGCTCAATAAATACAAAAATGGTATTACATACATACATACATACATACATACATACATACATATGTATGACGGTAAATGTAACTGTGTCAATTGGTTGTAAAGCAGTAAAAATTGTGAATAATGAATTTTTAGTTATTAATATAAGCACTAACTTGGTGAGGGTTTAATTTAAATAAATAAAAGTACAATAAAAAATGTTACTAACCACAAACGTCTTATTCGTTAAGCAGAATAGCAAACCGGCTTTTAAATGTCGAAAGTCAAGTGATGCATTCCAGTTTAGGATTGTCTAAATGCATTGTTTACTTCGGCTTGTTTTAAAAAGCCAGAAAAATTATAGTATATCAGCTTTTTCAATAATTTATATAAATTAATTATTAGTTAATATACCTAATTCGTGTGCGTTTGTTCAATTTTGTGTAAAAATGTATTTATGCTTGGATGTAAATCATATGGCTTGTTTATAATTGTATTACAAATCTTATTTAATTTAGCACATTCGGTTTCTGGCGGATTTGAAGCGTAAAATTTTTTGATTATGTATAGTATCTATGTGTGTCGTGTTGTAGGCAGCCCAGTTGGAAAATAGCACACTGATGATAAATTCGTCATGACACACTGTCTTCTGTGGCTGATGAAGAGACCAGACAAAATGTTGACTTACTTCAAACTGTCAACGAGCATGCGGAATGCGAAGGTTTTCGATGTCATGTATGCGGAGCTTAAAGACATTATTTGTCGATTTCCAACTGGTAGGAAAGCAAGATTAACTATGTAGGTATATACTTGTAGATATATGTGCATATGTACATACACAGGTGTATTTTTACAGGCGTTTTCAAACTGTAGCTAATTTACTTAATTATCCTTTTGGTGCGAAGCATCGGCTGTTTTTTTTTTTCTGCAATTTGTCTGATTGAATTTTTCGTTCATTACGCTTTCCCTCTGCACTTCACAGACACTTTCTCATGGCTCAAAAGAAATATAATAAAATTAGGAAGCGCCTCACGGAATTCGAACCCGGCACCTTCTGGACGCTAATAAATAGAGGCACATTCCTCTGCACGCTCAGCCACTGCCGACTACGGATGCATGCTTTCAAATGTTTAGCTTGAGAAAATGAAATACAATTATTATTGCTTTCAAATGACATCATCTATTTCGAACGTTTTCCGGATATGAAAATTGATGATAACTATAGGAGTTTTTTGTATGGAAACGGAAAATTGAACTGAAATGCACTGTCGGCACGTTTCTTACGTTTTTTTGGCTGGCAAAAATACGGCCTTGTGTGTATGTACCGGACGTGCAGATTTTTTGAGCAGTGTGGCTAAGGAGTTAATCAATATTTACTCAAACTTGATATAAACCAGAAAATTTATTTTCATAAAATTTTAGGAAAATGGGCGTGGCACCGTCCACTTATATCATATATCTATCTCAAAACTCAAAAACTACTTGACCGATCTCGACCAAATTTGATATATGTACACATTGAGCATAGCCATATTATTACATATTTTACATATGTACATACTTCAAGAGTTCTACATTTTTTTACAACGAGATGTGTAAACTTTTTTCTTGCAAAAAACCAAAATAGCCAATAATATGAAGTGACAATGTATTTTTTTTTATATTTTATGTTTTTGAGAATTGAACTTGATTAAACTGTGATTCTATTTATCAACTTGGTATAATTTTATAGATGCCCCAAATGGCTAAAGCTGAAAAATATATTGACCGCATGAAGTGATTGAACGTTTCTATTGACGTGGTGTATCGCATACAAACAGATGAAAAACTGAGACACAAAATTAAAATGATTTTAGTTATTTACTCATAATTCATCTGGTTTACGATAAAGAGAAGTCGTGAAATATTTTTTGGGTATGTTTTATTTAAAAATCCAGTGATAGAGCTCATCGGTTATTTGAGTACTGGTTTTACTTAGGAAACTTAGCAAAAATGTTAGTCCAATTATAACCGGCGTATTTTTTTAATAATGTTCAAGACACCTTTTTAATCTTTTTGTTGAATGAAGAAAGAAAAGTGCAAGTTTTTAAGTATATATTTGGTTTTTATTATAAAGAATGTAAAGAACTGAGGATGTGTAAGCAATTACTTAATTAAATACACACATATGTATGTACATATACAATTTTAAAACAATTCTTAAATAAATATGTAAATAAAATGTATACAGAAACTAGTTTTAAACAATAGTATACATTTGATTTTTTCATTACTTGGTGCTTAGTAGAGTCCAACCGATTAATCGGCTGATGAGGTAATGTTATTTAGTTATTTGATTATGTTTTATAAAGTTATGTTTATTATAAAAGTTCATAAAAGCATTTGTTCTTGAAATGAATTTATATTCAGGATTTAATCGGCCGAAGAAACGGCAGATTCTTTGCCGATTAAATCCTGAATATAAGTTCGGTTCAAGAACAAATGCTTTTATAAACGTATATAATAATAAAAGAAAAACATAAACAAATAACTAAATAACATTATCTCATTCAAGAATCGGCC